TGAGAGGGAGTTTAAATAAAGTTTATGAATTCCTTGGATTAAGTAAGTACAATGACTATGTTCATATATTTTGAAACAACCCAAGTAGCTAATCACTCAAAGCGTGTCGAATAAACAGTAAAAAAACAAGAACATTTCAGTTGAAGTAGGGTTCGTGGGATCTTAGAGAAGGATAGTTGCTCATAATGATTACTGTCCCTTTAGAAATCCCACCCCACCACTTCCTTCTGTTTAGAAAAATAAAAATAACAAACAGTGCGAATGATTGTTATTTTAATGAACGCGTGTGCCGGAGTCTTCTTCAAATTTTTTAAGAGACGGGCACTGAATCTGTTTTAGAAGTACAGGGTAGAACTGAGCGTGCATTAAGAATGCAATTTTGAACCCGAGTAGTGGTAGTAGTAGTCACGTTCCTACTGTCAAAGGAAGCAGAATGTCTTTAAATCATAAACACGAACTAGGCCTATTTGGAAGGAAAGGTGTCCTTAAGACAACAACATACCTATGAAAAGTGTCTATAAGCGTAGTTTATGATTCAAGGCAACAATTTTTAAATAACCAAAGACACCACTGCTTGCGTTTTACCGATCACCGTAAAATAATCAAAGTTTCATTGTGACCTTTAACAGGCCCGTAACCAGCAATTTCAAAAGGGGGGTGGTTATTCTGAAAAACTGGACCTTTTCCCATAAAAACGTCATGTACCTAGATCAAATTTTACCCAGAGTGGACCTTTTCCCAGCAAAAGGGGCGGTTCTTTCGAAACCCCTCCCCCGGCTACGGGCCTGTTTAATTTTTGAATGGGTGATTTTTATTGGCACCTTTTGCTTGCTTTTCAATTTTCTGTTAATTCAAATCGTAAATTTTAGCTTGATAGTTTAGTCAATATAGTCGTATTTTTCCCCGAAAATAGATATACTTTAACGTTTTGGAAGACACTTGATTTTTTTCTTGTTTTTATTTTACAGAAAAACTTAATCCATGGGAAGAAGACGAGATTTTAGCCAGAGCACCAACTAATTCTAGAACTGAGTCGTATAGCACCATTGGAAAAATGTGGGATTCTACTAGGACACTTTTGAGAGAATTTTACGCCTCTCACAATGACCAGCTAGCTGACTTATTGAATGATGACCGCTTTCGATGGGCGGATGTGCTCGCTGATACAAATATCGCTGAGACAAATACTACAACTGAACGGTGACTATCGGACCTTCAAAGAACGATGTTATTATAGTTGCTGTGAAAGGCAGATAGAGGGATTGTTTTAGCAGTGCAGTTAAAAGGCCTTGTTTTCATCTTAATGGAGTACTTGCATTTATTTCAACATTACAGGACGCACCACGTTTTAAGTTGTCATACATCCCCATGGCAACTTAAAACAATATGCAAACCTATCTTAACTGGTTTAGTAATGGATGGAATTTTTAGTACATCAGTTCTACTTCTTCGTAAAAAAAAGCAAAACAAAAATAGGACACGAAGCACTCAGTGAAAAGTAAATAAGGAAATCATATTGTAAATGTGTAGATGATATATTCGATTGGATATAGAAATAAACATAGATATAAAATGTTTAAGTGCAATGTATGAGAATAAATTTGTGTGGCCGGAGAAACAACCAACGGCTGACCTCTTCTCGAGTCTGAGGGCATATTTCACAAACTTGGTACGAATGGGGCAATCTAACTGATTGCAGGAAGGGAATATACGTGATGTTGATGAGGAGTATCAATAATAGGTCAAATAATTCATGTTTATGATACACCATACGTATATGTATTCGTGTGTACACAAGGAAGCAAAATTTATCACTTCCTCAGCTTTGGATAAAATGCGTTAGTGGTCATAAGGCGGCTTCCGTGCAATCCACTCCTAGAAAACGCTCGCAATCTGGAACAAGGAATATTCAAGGAGCAGATCTAACGGACGCAGTATAACAAATAATTAAAATGTCTTAATAAAAAATGAATCACATCCGGATAACTGACCAAAACCATGTCCAACTCTCTGAGATACACCTCGGAAAATGTCGCTGGACCTTACTTAGTCACGGGAGTGTGTCAAATGACTGAAGCTACAACTATGCGTAGACTCTGAACCTGTTCCTGATCTCGGGCAAATTATTATAGTACATGTATCGTACGATTGCTTTTCAATCCAGACAAATGCGAACGGTGTGTTCCGATTTAATGTACTTAAAGTACATTTTGCAGCATTGAGTGCAATTGTAGTTTCCGTGCTTTTTTTCTGGAAAGACGCCTTTAAGAGAGAGCTAGAAAACTGCCCCTCCTCCATGGAACCATGGGGATTTTACTGTTTTATTTAGATAAAAATTTATAGAGCTTAGGTTAGTGCGGTAAAATGTTCCGGTGGCGTGCACGTGTCCCCTCACTGTATCTCAAGGCAGAGATTGAGGCCACCGATGCATCTCTCTGTCAAAGATGTTGGACAGGCTGCCAACTCACTGTTTTCCCTTAGATGGTCCTGTCACTCGCATTATTCAACTCGTGGGCATGACTTGCTCACGCAGAAGTTTTTTTAGGTCTAGCACACTGCTGTGGTATTTAAGCGTAAAACAAAAATGTTACAAATTGCACAAATATTCCATTCCGGGTTACGTCTGCACCCTAAATTACTTTTCTAGATGATCCAGTTTCGAGGTAAAGGGGGGAGGTAGGAGCAGTTAAAAATTTGTACTTCCCACATTAAATTAATTTAATTCGTGTTTCCATTTGACTTATTAAAAAAGTCTCACTGCAACCAGAATCTTAAATTAGAGACCGCTCTATTGAAAGAAACACCTAGAAAAAGGCACAAGCAGTACACACTGTTTGACCCACGGTAAAATGATGGGCAATATCGCCATCATTGTTCAAAGATGTCGTGACACCTGCTCGGGACAGTGGATGAATCAGTCTTCTTTCTAACCGTCGGTCACTGTGGCCAGATATGGTCACTGTGGTGCACACGGTAGCGGTCAGTCATAGTGTGAGGATGGATTTACCAACTAACCTCATAGTAAGAACCTGGGACACGCGATTTAGCTGTGGTCGAAGTGAAAGCATGTGTTGGCACGAACAGGCCCTTAGATCACTGTTAGTTAAACGCCAAGGATATGAGAGAGAGAATCTAGGATAGTTTTAGAGATCCTCGGTGTTCTAAATGAACACGCAGTGATGTGCATGCGAAACGGAATCTTTGCACAGTTACAATGTAACAGCCTAGTAAAATTAGTGGGCCATGGTTTGTTGAATTACTGACTATATCTTGAAAAACTATGCCACCATTTTAACTGCGCGAGAATACTTCATAGATTGCAGATTAAAATGTCAAATGTTCAAACCCTCCTACTTCACACACACACACACACACACACACACACACACGAAATAGCCAGCGAATAGCAACATTTCAGGGACGATTGTCAGTACGTTTGTATAAGGTTTGCCTTAACTGAAGATTTTCTTCTGTTGTACTTTTATTAGCTGTGGGGGAAGCTTTATGAAGAGGACAACGAGCAGGGGCGGATCCAGAGCTATTTACTGACAGTCTTCCAAATTATCTTTGTTGGTTCATCCTCCAATTTTGACCGTCTTCCAACAGAAAAAATTAGATACCCGTCAATGTTAACTTGAAAATCTGACCGTCTTCCGGAAGACCCAAAAGACGGCCTAAATCCGCCCCTGACGAGTGAACGTGGCCGAGAAGCTGGGTTAATGCAACTATGTATTCTTTTATAATGTAAGGGGGCAATCGAGATCCTTCAGTTGGAAGGTTGCCTTATTACGTCTATGATGTGGACAATTTCTTTCTTCCCTTACGTGAAATGGACAATAAAAATAAAGGAATCATGATTTATTGATCTATATTGAAGTATACTTAACTCAATAAAATGAAATAATTTAGATCAACATGAGTGACATAACACGGGTACTTTCACTTTGTAACCCTAAAAACACGTGAGTATTAATCAGGATATAGATAATTTTTCTATCAATTGTTTAACTTTCTTTTACTGCGCCATGAGCAACTTAAGCGTATGTTTGTGGAGTAGGAGCGGTGCTAGCCTAAGCTGCTCTCGTTTATTCAAAACTCCCCTCCCAAAACGTTGAGAACTATCACAAATCTTTGTGTCATGCGGTTTGACTACGAAAACCTCCTCACGACGATTTTTTTCTTTTTGGTCTAAGCTGTCCAACAATAGCAGAAGTGGCTCTGTATTTTTCTAAAGGGTGAACCATTTAATTGAATTTCCACGTGTAGTTTTCTTCCATGTGGAAAATTCTTGTCTGACTATGACGAGAGATGAGTAAAAAATAGTAAAGTTCTGTCGTGCGATTAATGTCTGTGGTCGCATAATTGATTTCATAGCCAGCACACATGACTCAAGTTACTTCGTTAGATCAATGAGCTACAAACGCATGCATTCAATAGTGTCCTTAAAAGATTTAGATTGGTTAACATGTGTTATTGTAACTTGTCCGTTTAAAAATTTAGTTTTAGTTGAGTTATTGAACACAAAAAAGAAACTAGCTCTGTTTGTAGAAGATCTCGTCGGAATGGTCTAATTTCGTGCCGTCTGATGAGCGCCACATACAAACGTCGAGTGCTTTGGTGCTCGTCTTGAATACTATGTTTGATTAATGACGTAAAAACGTCGTGGATTTCTCTTTGCTTATACCGAAAAAAATAAATAAGGAAAAAGAACAAAGGTTAGTTTCCGTCTAAATAAAAAGCAATTTCAAGAGCTTCAATTCAATTTTCTTATTACAATTAAACACCATACTCTTTCACGCAACGCAATAATCGTTCAACCATGCCCAGTGACGAGTTGCAGATTGGGTAACACACTTCCGACGTAGGTTGTCACACGACCCCCGAGACATTATGTTGCCCCGCCCACAGTTTCCTTATATGGAGGAAATACTCCCCTGACCCACTTCCAGGGCTATGATATATATAAATGACGGCTGCGCTGCTTTGAGTAAACCATTCAGTAAGACCAACTCAGTGCAAGTGTTCTGATAACGACCAGAAGTGAGAAGGGCACACGTGTAGGATTAGATTATTATTGTTCAAGTAAAAATCAAATTTCAAACAGAAGATGCAGAACGGACTTCAACTAGCCACAGTTGCATTTCTTGCCGTATTTACAATATGCGCGGCAGCAGAGGATCACTTTTTCACAAGAAGCACAACACAGAAAGATGAAAGATTCAAGTATATTCTTCCATCCAAAGGTAAGACTGGGTTAGCTGGCATTGGTGGAGTTTTTTAATTCTATTTTCCCTGAAACTTATAAAAATAACGAGAATAGAGAGGGAAGGGGTTCTCTTTCTATGTCTTGTCCTTTATGGGCCCCTCCCCCCCTTTTTTTAGAGTGGGGCATTGACCTGTTGCACACTGTGCCAAAGATTTAATGCGAGGCTCTTTTTTCAGTATTTCCCAGCCTCGTGTGTCATATACGAGAAACTGGTAGTCATGCAAGTGGTAAAACTCCATTCAGTAATTGCTTTAGCCTGAGTGGGTATTACTTTTGGAAAATATTATATACATGATATATGAAAAATGAAGTGAACCCCGTGCCTATTATGTCAACTTCGGTCGTAATGGTACATGAACCTAAGTAGTGTGTTTGAACTATGCATAGCGTGGGTGGTGTGTACGTACACATACATGTACGTCTGTAAATAATATTACAGTCCTGAAAACAGCAATCCACGCAGAGTGCATGGAAACACGGCATTAGAAATAACAGTTAATGGACAAGACGGGGGTGTAATCTTATCATGAAAGATAACCTGCAGAAAAATAGTAAAATACTTCTGAATCAATTTTTATATTGCCGTTCAAGACAATCGACCGTGGTGTGAGAATTTCTTGAGCGTCAGTGCTTTTTTTACTGTATCAACTTATTTAGGGATGATATATTCACGTATCCTCGCACGTTCATTCATTTGTACATCATGACTATGTACAATAGCACTTGGATGATAAAATACCTGTTAACAGCACTTTGTTAATAGTGATGATCTTTTATAAAGAGGCTGAATGTTCTCAAATTGCCACGGATAGTGTGTATCTTCCGTACGTTATAGTATTATTGTGGTTGTCAAACACCGGAAGAATATCCTAATCATCCAATTATTAAAACTGATATTAGGAAATTGGGCTCTTTCGGTCAGTGGTTACTACCCATTAAATGATTCATTGTTAATTGTTAACCCTGTGAACGCTTTACGAGCGATGACTGGGTCATAAATGACTTATTAATTAAATGTGGTGAAAAGATCTAGGTTAATGAATCACTGATGCTTAAAACGTTACTTCAGAAGTATAGGTTGTAAGGGAATACCATTGGAGTACTCAAAATTGTTACAGAAATATTTGACAATAAAACTCACACCGACCCATTTTATCGGGCTACCTAAAGCAAGTGCATTAAGGTAACGTAAATAAGATATTTAAAGCATCCAGAGTAACGAGTGAATACTCTAAGGTAATGTTAACAGTGTCTTCTTCGGTGACTCACTGCGACGACCACCGCATAGGTTGACATTGGTGTTGCTCGGTGACATTTTGACGCACCCATTCCTCACGGAGTGTTTGACATTCCAGTAGCAGCGCAGAGTAGTGTGTGAGATCGTAATGTATTCAAACAATTTGTAGTTGAAATACTCTCTACATGTCGGGGTGGGCAGGTCGCCAAGAGGTGGTTCACGACTTTGAAGAGATGACTTCACTCGGTTCACTTACTATCATGTCGATTTAGTTTCCGTTCTGACCTGGTAAAAGGCCAACGTGCAGGCTCTTATTATATGGGACGTAAAGCTTCATAAAACTAAACGAGCCCCATGCATCTACCTTTTGCCCGTAAGATGGCCTAAACTGAGAATTTTACACTTAATATTAAAGGATGATACAATATGACACCATTCAGAATCACGTTTATATCTAACCAAATTCCGTTTTTGTTTCGTTTTCAGAAGTCGACGCGACATGCCTAAGTCAGGCCGAAGCCGGGCATTGTCGGTTTTATCGCTGCCTCAGAGAAAGATTCACCTGCGACAAATTCCAATACGCCAGGGACGCCGAGTTCAGCTGCAGACGAATGGGACGCTTTGCTGGTGGTTACGAGGTACATTTTGTTGCACTTCTGATACACTTGAATGCACTTTATGATTAACTAATTGACTTACTGAAATGTCCTATTCGTTCTCATATTTAACGACCATTTTTTCTTTTTCTCTTTGTCCGTTTACTTTTTTTTATTTTGCATCAGCAACAAGATAAACTTTGGCAATGAACAATATTTTTCACCACTGGCATGAAAGTAAAAGAACACTACATTCAAGTATACGCGATTAATTTGAAGTCGAAATATTTTACTGAAAAGTGAGACTTGAGTTTCCGTGCATTTACATATATAGGCATCTTTTGTTCTTAATTATTTTGCAGTATTATATATATTTATTTATTATATAATTAATTGTTATATATTTTGTACTTTTTCATTACAGCACCGCCAGCTGATCACGCAGTTCAACAAGTGCATGATGAGAAGCTTGTCCCTTGTATACCAGTCAGGCACCAACAACTGCTTCTTTATCAAGGAGTTTGGGCAACAGCTTTTTACACAGTGCTTCATTCAGCACAACCTGTGTGAACTACTGCAAGGCTCTGAAGATGAAAAACGCGCCTTCCAGCAGATGTTTGGGTAGGTTAGGCTCTCTCTCTCTCTTTCTCTCTCTCTCTCTCGTTAGATATTTATTCGGAACCCCTAGTTACATTGTACAATATTTAACATCTTGTACATATAATAGGGAAATAATGTGCATCTTGTTAGGCTGTGAAGTTGAG